TCAGGATAGTGAATAAATCAGCAAAAAAACATTACATGTATAATATTTAGTGGGGTCATCTGAATTGTGATGTCCATGCACATCTGGCATGCACATCTTTTTTTTTGGGGGGTGTTACTCTACTTCAATGGGAGAGAGATGTTTTAGAAAATAAATTAGAAAATAAAACTGTGTTGTGGAATTCCACTGGATGTCAGACAACCAGTGAAAAATGTTTAGCTTGAATCTGAAGTATATTACCATCTAACATTAATGCAGTGGCACAGTTTTAACCCTTTCAGGGTCGACAGGCCCTCTCCCAGACTTGTTCTCAGGGTCGACAGATTTTCAAAAAAAAAAAAAAAAAAAAAAAATTCTCATGAAAAGATAATCTTTTCCTGATCATAATGACACCAAAAGTATGAAATTTGATGGAAAACTTATGGAATTATGCTCTCGCAAAGTTAGCGGTCTCGATGATGTTTACGCATCGGCGATTTTGCCCACTTTGAGCCCTATTTTCGGCCAATTCCAGTGTACTAGTCGACAAAAATCATAACTATTTCGCTAGAACTCCATTTTTTTTATTGAATGAGTACAAGAAACCACCCATTCACTGATTTCAACTATCCAATACAGTGGTCAGAATTTAGCAATTTTGTCAATTTCACACAAATTTCAAAAGATGCCAATTTCCAAATAGGGTCCAGAATAAACAAGAAAGACATTCCTGGCACTAAAATAACATTTCCTCTGTTCATTAGTCACGTCCCCACGCCCCTCTTACATTCTTTTGTTTTTCACTTTGAATTTTTATTCTCACAAAAAATAGAAGATTTACTGTTATGCAGACTACTGCATTAGTGTAGAAATGGTATAAATAATAACAGCGCACTTGTGAAAGAATATCAGACTCACCAGTTGACGTGTATTGGATGCGTAGCATGATTTGTTTACTTTTGAACTTTGGCAAAAATCAAAGATTTCTGCCACCTTGAACTCAATTTCAAGGTACTTTTCATTGTAAAATCAATCAAAATCGTCTTAATTTCTGTAATATGTCTTCCATTCTATAAAATGAGACCAGGAAAACTAGAATACCATCATAAATACATTACGAAAATACAGTGCAAACTCGCTGTTTTAAACCAAAAACACTGTCAAAGTTTTTTTTTCTCATTACGCACTGTGTGCTGCAGGATTTTTTTTATACTGTGCACACTGACCACATAGACCCATTCTTTCATGTGTAGGCCTACCAGCTTTCTCTCACTAGATTTGAGGGCACTAGAATTTAGGCATACTAGTATGTCAAAAACCCTGGTGCGTAAGCCGTACTAGTACGTCAGAAACCCTGAAAGGGTTACAGCAACTTGACAATATATTATTCGATGCTTGCTGTATATAGTTTTCCAGGTAAATAAAATACCACAACCAGAGGCGATATTTTTAGCAACCTCTTAACTCAACAAACTGCAGATATTAATACACGTTAGAGATATTAACCCTTAAATAATCCAAACGTATATATACGTTTTTTCAACATCTGAAAGTATGTAAAAAAATGTAGATCTTCTCTTTTGTTTTACATTTGAAAACCTGCAAAAAAACTTTTATCTACATTATTTTTTTGTTATATTTGAAAATATTTAAAAAAAAGTAGATCTACTTTTGTAGCACTATGAATTTGAACGTCGATTTATTTGGACCGTTTAAGGGTTAATGTACGGTACATGAAAGATATTAATACACATTAGAGATACAGTTTTTTAAACCCACCAGCTGTCTCCCACCCAGGCAGGATGACCCAAAAAAAAGAAGAAATGACTTTCTCTCCTTATATATATATATATAACTGATACAGGAGAAGGGAGTTACTAGCCCCTTGTTTAGGAGTACATATTATTTTTTTTTTTTCAACAAGTCAGCCGTCTCCCACCGAGGCAGGGTGACCCAAAAAAGAAAGAAAATCCCCAAAAAGAAAATAGTTTCATCATCATTCAACACTTTCACCACACTCACACATAACCACTGTTTTTGCAGAGGTGCTCAGAACACAACAGCTTAGAAGCATATACATATAAAGATACACAACATATCCCTCCAAACTGCCAATATCCCAAACCCCTCCTTTAAAGTGCAGGCATTGTACTTCCCATTTCCAGGACTCAAGTCCGGCTATATAAAAATAACCGGTTTCCCTGAATCACTTCACTAAATATTACCCTGCTCACACTCCAACAGCTCATCAGGTCCCAAATACCATTTGTCTCCATTAACTCCTATCTAACACGCTCACGCTTGCTTGCTGGAAGCATGCGTGAGCATGCTTCCAGCAAGGACGACCCCTACCCCACCTTCCTTTCCCTACAGATTTATACGCTCTCCATATCATTCTACTTTGATCCATTCTCTCTAAATGACCAAACTACCTCAACAACCTCTCTTCAGCCCTCTGACTAATAAAGTGGACCCTCGCCTAACGATGGCATCGCATAACGTTAAATCTGCCTAGCGATACATTTTAATGCAAAAATTTTGCCTCGCCTAGCGCTAAAAAACTCGCTCAACGCTATTCGTCTGAGACACGTCCACGTGTGGCCTGAGCCAGCCTCACTTGTTCCGTGGGTGGCAGTGTTTACAAGCCAGCCTCCGCGGTCACATCCAAGCATACAATCGGAACATTTCGTATTATCACACCGTTTTTAGTGATTTCACCTGCAAAATAAGTGACCATGGGCCCCAAGAAAGCTTCTAGTGCCAACCCTACAGGAATAAGGGCGAGAATTACTATGGATATGAAGAAAGAGATCATTGCTAAGTATGAAAGTGGAGTGCGTGTCTCCGAGCTGGCCAGGTTGTAAAGCAAACCCCAATCAACCATCGCTACTATTGTGGCCAAGAAAACGGCAATCAAGGAAGCTGTTCTTGCCAAAGATGCAACTTTGCTTTCGAAACAAAGATCGCAAGTGATAGAAGTTGTTGAGAGACTGTTATTGGTGTGGATAAACGAAAAACAGATAGCAGGAGATAGCATCTCTCAAGCGATCATATGTGAAAAGGCTAGGAAGTTGCATGACGATTTAATTAGAAAAATGCCTGCAACTAGTGGTGATGTGAGTGAATTTAAGGCCAGCAAAGGTTGGTTTGAGAGATTTAAGAATCGTAGTGGCATACATAGTGTGATAAGGCATGGTGAGGCTGCCAGTTCGGACCACAAAGCAGCTGAAAAATATGTGCATGAATTCAAGGAGTACATAGAGGCTGAAGGATTGAAACCTGAACAAGTGTTTAATTGTGACGAAACAGGCCTGTTTTGAAAGAAAATGCCAAGCAGGACCTACATTACTGAGGAGGAAAAGGCACTCCCAGGACATAAGCCTATGAAAGACAGGCTTACTCTGTTGATGTGTGCCAATGTTAGTAGTGATTGCAAACTGAAGCCTTTATTGGTGTATCACTCTGAAACTCCCAGAGCGTTCAGGCAAAAGAATATCCTCAAGGCTAATTTGTGTGTGCTGTGGAGGGCAAACAGTAAGGCATGGGTCACTATGGACTTTTTCTATGACTGGTTACACCATGCATTTGCCCCCACTGTGAAAAATTACCTAATTGAAAAGAAATTTGGCCTAAAGTGCCTCCTGGTATCAGACAGCGCTCCTGGTCATCCTTCAGACGTGGCAGAGCGACTTTCTGCAGACATGAGCTTCATTAAGATCAAGTTTTTGCCTCCTAATACCACTCCTTTCCTGCAGCCCATGGACCAGCAGGTCATTGCAAACTTCAAAAAACTGTACACAAAAGCTCTGTTTGAAAGGTGCTTTGTAGTGACCTCAGAAACTCAATTGACTCTAAGAGAGTTTTGGAGAGATCACTTTAATATCCTCAATTGTGTAAACCTTATAGGTAAGGCTTGGGAGGGAGTGACTAAGAGGACCTTGAACTCTGTTTGGAAGAAACTGTGGCCAGAATGTGTAGACAAAAGGGATTTTGAAGGATTTGAGGCTAACCCTGAGAAGCGTATGCCAGTTGAGGAATCCACTGTGGCATTGGGGAAGTCCTTGGGGTTGGAGGTTAGTGGGGAGGATGTGGAAGAGTTGGTGGAGGAGGACAATGAAGAACTAACCACTGATGAGCTGCTAGATCATCTTCAACAGCAAGAGGCCACACCTGAGGAAACTGCTTCAGAGGAGGGGAGAGAGAAATTGAAGAAGTTGCCTACTTCAAAGATTAAGGAAATGTGTGCAATGTGGCTTAAAGTGCAAACCTTTTTTGATGAAAGTCACCCTCACACAGCTATTGCAAGCTGTGCTGGTGACTATTACACTGACAATGTTGTGAACCACTTTAGGAAAGTCACAAAGGAACGAGAGGTACAGGCCTCTATGGACAGATATGTTGTGCAACAGAAGTCCAGTGACTCTCAAGCTGGTCCTAGTGGCATTAAAAGAAGAAGGGAAGTAACCCCGGAAAAGGACTTGCTACCTCAAATTCTAATGGAAGGGGATTCCCCTTCTGAACACTAAGACCATTCACACTCTCCCCTCCTCCCATCCCATCAATCATCACCAGATCTTCAATAAAGGTAAGTGTCATGTAACTGTGCATGTCTTCTTCAGTTTGTGTGTATTAAAATTAATATTTCATGTGGAAAAAAAAAAAAATTCATACTTTGGGGTGTCAGGAACGGATTAATTTGATTTCCATTATTTCTTATGGGGAAAATTAATTCGCCTAACGATAATTTCGCCTAACGTTGAGCTCTCAGGAACGGATTATTAGCGTTAGGCGAGGGTCCACTGTACTTTTATTAACTCCACACCTTCTCCTAATTTCCACACTCCGAATTTTCTGCATAATATTCACACCACACACTGCCCTTAGACAGGACATCTCCATTGCCTCCAACCACCTCCTCGCTGCAGCATTTACAACCCAAGCTTCACATATTAATGTAACTCCAAAATCTTAAGACATGTCAAAGACATTAATGAATATCAGAGAATACATGATATACTCACCTGACGTTAGCGGCTTTTTCACCAATAACGAACAGAGTCGGAGTTCGGCAATCCAGGAGGGGATCGTCAGCCTCGCCACGCTTGCCAGATGCCCCTGTCATAGGATACCCCAGACAAATATTGGCAGTCACAGTCTCAAGCATTGACACCTAGGCATTAGAAACAATGTGAAACAAATATGTGAAAACAAACTTTATGCAGTATTACATGTAATAAAATACTGTTAAGCACAAAAGAAAGCCACTAACATGCTGCCATTTTGGCGCAGACTAATCCTAATGCTTACAGACTTAAGAACTAGAATTTTTTAAATGTACAAAAGTGATGTAGCTAAGTGAACAATAGTACAATTTTATGTACTGTATTTTATGTTAAATAAGATGCTGCGGAGTCGAGGACTCCTCTCCCAATTCTGATTGTCTAAACTAAAAAAAAAAAAAAAAAAACAATAGTTTGGCTTCCAAGATGCTGAGTAAATTTTCAAAGCTTATCTGGGGAAAAAACAGCATCTTCATTGCAGTAAAACACGGTATGCATTTTTATGCGATCGTTGTGTGCATGTACTATAATGGCTGCAGCTACTAAACAGTGATGTTACAAGAGGTGTATAGAGCATAAATTAATTAAAGCTTGGCACAAGATGATCCGAGTGCAATGCTGATTATCCACAGTACAGTGGACCCTCGACCAATGCTGGCATCATCTAACGATAAAATCGCCTAATCGATGCATTTCTGCGTAAAAAAATTGGCTCGACCAATGGTGAAAAACTCAGGTAAGGACATTCGCCCTGAACACATCTGCCTTCCGCCAACTAGCCTGAGCGCCTCAGCTGCCCTGCCTTCAGCTAGTGTGCCATTGTTTACAAGCCAGGACGGATGGTTCTACAGATACATGAGATATATTTTGTATTATTCCATTGTTTTTAGTGCTTGTAACCGCTAAATAAGCCATCACGGGCCCAAAAAAAGCTTCTAGTGCCAACCCTAAGGTAAAAAGGGTGAGAAATACTATCGAAATACTATCGTACCACGGTCAGCTGCTGCTGCACCACCATCAGCTGCTGCTGTTGCCTGCAGCTGCTGCTGTACCATGGTCAGCTGTTGCTCCACCACCGTCAGCTGTACTACTCAAAGATGTGGAGAGAATTTTGTTGGTGTGGCTTAATGAGAAACAATTATCCAAGAAACAATTAACCCCAGAGGGTTAACCACCCAGGATAACCCGAGAAAGTCAGTGCATCATTGAGGACTGTCTAACTTATTTCCATTGGGGTCCTTAATCTTGTCCCCCAGGATGCGACCAACACCAGTCGACTAACACCCAGGTGAACAGGAAAAAATGCCTGGAACTAGTGCTCATATTGGTGAATTTAAGGCCAGCTAAGGTTGGTTTTAGAGATTTAAGAATCGTAGTGGCATACACAGTGTGATAAGGCATGGCGAAGCTGAAAAATTCCAACCACAACCAGTGTTCATTTGTGACGAAACAGGCCTTTTTGGAAGAAAATGCCAAACAGGACCTACATTACTCAGGAGGAAAAGGCACTCCCCAGACACAAGCCTATGAAAGACAGGCTAACTCTCATGTTCTGTTGTAATGTTAGTGGGGATTGCAAAGTGAAACCTTTACTCATGTATCACTCTGAAAATCCCAGAGTGTTCAAGAAAAACAGTGTCTCATCACTCATCAATACTCTTTAATAAAGGTAAGTGTCATTTTAGCATTTGTTTATGTAGTTCTTGTGCATGTCTCATTGTTTTCTTTGTAGGGAAATGTATATTTCATGAAAAAAAAAAAAATTAATACTTTTGGCTGTCTGAAACGGATTAATTGGATTTCCATTATTTCTTATGGGGAAAATTAATTTGACTAACGATAAATTCGGCTAAGAACAAGCTCTCTGGAACGGATTAATATCATTGGTCAAGGGTCCACTGTAGTTGCTTCCAGCAGCCCACAGCCCTACACAGCCATCACAACATGGCTAATCTGACACCGTCTGAAGGTACCAGTCTGGCTTCTGCTAAAAAAAGAATCATGTACCACTGTTTAAAGAATATTTTTGGTATCACATATTCAGGAATGCTAGCCTCTGCTGTCCTTAGGCCTACTGTACTTTCAAAACATGGCGCTCTCCCTTCGCCCTTTCAAAAAAATCCCTGAAGGGTAAGTGGCTTGACTTGAGTAGCAAAAAGGCCCACTTACCCCCTTGTTTCCATTTTTTTTAATACATGGTTTTGTCATGAAAAGGGGTGACCCCAAAAAAGAAGAAACATTTTATCATCACTCACTCCCCAATGTCTTTCCCGAGGATGCCCTTATGTTCAAAAACTGAAAAACATCCAAGCAATGGTCGAAAAAAGTGAGGGGTGATCAAGTTGACAACTCGGTTTGAAAACAAGTACAGTGGTACTCAAATTACGAACTTAAATTTTTTCCAGAAGGCCATTTTAAGTGCCAATACCCAATGAATTTGTTCCCTAAGAAATAATGTAAATTAGATTAGTCCTTTTCAGACCCCAAAAATACACTTACCAAGCACTTAAAAAAATTACACTTAAATAATTTTTGATTTGGGAGCTGTTAAAAACTCGAGGTACCACTTTTTTTTTAAATTCCAAAGTTTCGCCAAAACCAAAAGGGTTGATTGCTTAAAATGTGATAAAGCATCAAAAAAGGCTTTCTCTTAATTTGCAAGGATGAAATTAGATGAATTATGGTCTGGAAGCCCCATTATCACTCTTTTTTTGAAGAGGGAAACCGGGATGCACTAAAAACATCACCCCAAATTTCTTTCCTTTTGTTTTGGGGGTTTTTTGGGTTCCCCTTTGGGCCCCAGGGGAAGGAACTGGACTTGTTTTCCCCCCAAGTAAAAATTCTTAGCCAAAATTATTTGGTGTTTCCTCAAGTAACTTTTTAGCTTTACAAAAAAACCCACACATAGAAGAGAAGGAGTTACAAAATGACATTTCATTTCCGACTTGAACCTTTTTCCCCAAGTTAGTGTGACTTTGAAAATGGTCCAAGTTGGCCCAAAAAAATGTGCCCTAAGCTCCTCTCTTCTACATGCAGGTTATTTGTGCATTGTTTCAGTCACGATACGGTCCCTTTTTTTTTTTTCTTAACACAACATTACTTGCACATTTCCAATACACATGAAAAAAAAACCCACACAAAATAGGAACGAAAAAAAAGTCGAGAGTTTTAAAAGAATGCTTTGACCTTTGAGATCACTCAGTGGGGGGATGGCAAAAAAATAAAAGCAAATACAAAACCCAAAAGTAAACACCCTGGGGAAAAAATAATGAAAAAAAATAAAAAAAAAAATTGCCTGAAAAAAAAAATAAAGTTACGATTTCACAAATTTTAAATATTCTGCATCAATTTAAAAAAAATTAAATTTTCAAAGTCTAAAGAATTTTTTTAATTTAAAAAATTTCCTCAAAAGGCCCCCAAAATAGGAGGGGGAAAAAAAAAAAAAAAACATATAAATTTATGTGATCCTTGATTGACTTTCATTTTTTTCACACAGTGGTTTTTTATCAAGTCAAAACCCGACCCGTTTCTGACTTGATAAAGCCCACTGTGTTGGGCGAAAGTAAGTCGATAAAGGATCACATTAAAACTGCATTTGTGGTTTCTTTCCATGGGGGGTCCCGGGTTTTTTTTTTATCTTATGGTAGGGAGGAAACTGAAAAGTAAAATTTTGCCCTTTCATGACAAGCAATAAACAAAACCCCAACCGATTCCCCACCCAGGAGCCTACGGGCTATTAGGGTACTGACTCTTTCACTCGATGACCCGTGCGCGCACCCCCTCAAGTCTGCTCCCGCACTGCACCCCGCTTCGTGGGTCTCTGCAAGGGTTAAACAAAATATCTCTACATACAAAAAATATCCCTAGTTATTTTTATACCGCCTGCCCCTTTAAAGGGGGGGGTTTGGGATTTTACAGTTTGGGGGGATGTGTTTTGTATTTTATACGTATAAGCTTCTAAAAAGGTTGTATTTGACACCTTGCAAAAAAAGTGATTTTGTGTATGAGGTTAAAGTGTTGAATTTAAGATTAAAAATATTTTCATTATGGGGTTTTCTTTCTTTTTTGGGGCCCCTGCCTCGGTGGAGCGGCCAACTTGTTAAAAAAAAAAAAAAGTTATTTTTCTTATTAAATCATTCCCCAACACTATACATTTATTAAGTGGAACTTATAAACTTTTTATTTATTAATCATCGGCGTTTTCCACTGGGCAGGGTAACCAAAAAAAAAACACTTTAACCATCATTTACAACCCACTGTCAATAGTTCCCTACCCCTGTTCAGTGATTTGTTTTTGAGTATCAAGTGCCATCCTATGTTTTAATTTTACCCCCTTCTAGGCTCGTGACTCAGTGTGCGTCACTGATGCCGCATTGAGCAGAGACTCAGCTTCCCTTCTCTCACTTCACGCTTAGGTCTAACAACGGGCAACACGGCAGGCGGGGCTCCTCCTCTCACATCTGCAATTAATATCCCATCCAACAAGTTGTTAACCCCAACCATCATTTTCCCCACAAACCCCCTTCAACAAATGGTGACAGGGGTGAGCGCGAAAATTTGATATTTAGCAGAGTAGGGAAATTTAATTTTCCCATCAGCCAGGGACATTGGTGTTGACCACAGGGGAGCCGGGGAGCCAGCTACCCCAAGAAGCCCCACCACCCTTTTTGCTTCTGCTTCCTGGTCAGTCTTTGTGTCTTGGGTTTTTTATTTGCTTATTTGCATTACTTCCAGGGGTTGACCCGGGTTTCCAAAATTAAGCCCAAGCGCCAAGCAGTTTAGTACCACCCTTTGCCTGCTACCCTTTTCCACCCCTGCTGTCTCATCTTTTTAAAAAGTTCTCAACCCAGTCTGTTATGGGTTAACCCACCCAGCCAGCAACCAACAAACCCCAGGTGACAAACCCCAGTATTTAAACAAGCCACATGAGTTCCAGCCTTCACCCCCCACTTGGTCTCCCAGTTCTAAGCCGTCCTGAGTCTTATACCATCCCTGCGGTGTTGTGGATTTTGGGGTTTTTAACCCACCCTGGCTTAGATATTTCGTCCCTAGTGTGGGTGTCCCCAGAGCACGGGGTTAGCTGCTTATCCGTAGGCCTAGCCAGCTGCAGTGCCCCGCGCGCTGCCTCACTTGCCCACACCATCCCACCCCATTTTTTTTCATCCTTTTTGGGGTTCTAGCCCCCTTAATTTACGGGGTCACATATCAGGGGGAAGGGGCACAAGATTGTTTCTCGTTTCCGTGCCCAACAAGAAAAGCCTTTTATGCGAGTTCCAGAGTTTAAGTGCAAATTCTTTGAGACATTTAGGGTTTAGAGTAGTAGAGAACGCCGACACCACGAACCAAAAACCTTTTCCACCCCTTCATCCCCCACTGACTTTGCTCTGTGATAATAATCTTTTTCGAGACATTTGCGAGATTGAATTTTTTTTTTTCTCAGTGATTTTTTTAGCGACATTTCTTTTTCAGTGATTTCTTATGACATTTAATGATCTTAATCATCCTGTTTGCAGCATTTTTTTTCTTTTTTCAGTGTTTAAAATTTTTGTGCTTTATTTTTGTCAGTTGTGTTGAGTTCCTTTAACATTTTTCCCTGTTGTGTGACTATATAACATAAAAACTTTGTTTTTCACTTTAAAATTTTCATGTGTTCACAGTCTGTGTTCCTTGCCATAATTTGAAGTAAGAATTTATAAATGTTATCTTATTTCTGCATCACAGCATGTTGTTTCAGTTATTTTTTTTTCCCAGCATTTGTGTATTCTTGCTGACTTTTTTGTATTAATTCATTTCCCATTTTACTGTTGTTGAACTTTTTTGGCTAATTCTTTTTTTTAGCCAGGCTAAATTTGTCTATCTCCACAACAAAAGTAACCCTTTTTTTGTTTTAAAACAAGACAATTATTTCCAATTTTTATCAACACAAAACCTTTTTCAAGAAAATTATCTAGTATTGTCTATACGATGTTTGTGTTGCGCCTCATTGTAATGTTACCTTTCTCTGTTTTGTGTTTTATGCCCCTTTATTTTTTTATATTTCACTGAACAAATTCACTCCTAGTGTAATTTTTATTAACTTCTCTTTTAAAGTAAATCATTCTTTTGCTTTTCAGTGTTCGCTTAAGCTGCAATTAAGAGTTAAAGTGTTCAATCAGTTCATTCCTTGCTAACTTTTTTTATTGTTTGTGTAAACTGCATTTTCTTGTGTGGATGCATTTTTTTTTTACTGCAATATTGACTCATTCTGCAATGACTCTTATGCAAGTATTGTGCTGCCATTAATTTTTTCTTTCAGAAACTTTTTTTATGTAGTGTTGTGTTGTGCAGTAATTTTTGATTAGTAATTGTTACTTGCAACAGTACTACACTTTATTTCAGTGAAATATTCTGTGATACAGTTTTACATTTCTTGTGTTCTGTGCATATTTCATTCTTCGTGTGTCACTTTATTTTATTTTTTTTAAAGAATTGCTTCCCCAGTCTATTTTAACCCATAAACGGTCCAAGCAGATCTACGTTTTTTTTACAGATTTTCAAATATAACAAAAAAAAAAAAGTAGATCAAAGTTTTTTTACACGTTTTCAAATGTACAAAAAAAAAAAGATCTACTTTTTTTACATACAGTGGACCCCCGGTTAACGATTTTAATCCGTGCAAGAGGGATAATTGTTATGCGAAATAATCGTTATGCGAATGAATTTTCCCCATAAGAAATAATGGAAATAAAATTAATCCGTGCAAGACGCCCAAAAGTATGAAAAAAATTTTTTTTTACCACATGAAATGTTAATTTTAATACACACAAACTGAAAAAGGCATGCACAATTACATGACACTTACTTTTATTGAAGATCTGGTGATGATTGATGGGATGGGAGGAGGGGAGAGCATTATCTTCTTACTGTTTAGAAGGGGAATCCCCTTCCATTACGACTTGAGGTAGCAAGTCCTTTTCCGGGGTTACTTCCCTTCTTCTTTTAATGCCACTAGGACCAGCTTTAGAGTCACTGGACCTCTGTCGCACAACAAATCTGTCCATAGAGCTCTGTACCTCCCGTTCCTTTACGATTTGTCTAAAATGGGCCACAACATTGTCATTGAAATAGTCACCAGCACGGCTTGCAACAGCTGTGTCAGGGTGATTTTCATCTATAAAGGTTTGCAGTTCAACCCACTGTGCACACATTTCCTTAATCTTTGAAGTAGGCACAATGGATTCCACAACTGGCATAGGCTTCTCAGGGTTAGCCCCAAACCCTTCAAAATCTTTCTTAATTTCCATACTAATTCTCACCCTTTTTACCACAGGGTTGGCACTAGAAGCTTTCTTGGGGCCCATGGTCACTTATTTTCCAGAAACAGCACCGAAAACACTGTAATAATACGAAATATTCCGAGTGTATGCTTGGATGTTACCGCGGAGGCTGGCTGGTAAACAATGGGACGGGCGGCACATGTGAGGGCACATTGGACGCGTCTCGGACGAAAATCGGTGAGCGGGTTTTTAATCGGTATGCGCGGCAAAAATTTTGCGATAAAAGTAAGCGGTATGCGGAAAAATCGCTATGTGATGCCATCGTTATGCGGGGGTCCACTGTACTTTCAAATGTTGAAAAAACGTATAGCATATACGTTTGGACCGTTTACGGGTTAATTTTGCACAAGATTTATTGATTCCATTTTATCATTTTTGATTGATTTATCATTTATTGTTGAATTTCTTTATTGAATTGAGAGTAAAGACAACTCACTGTGCCATTAATTCAAATTAAAGGAAATTTGAGTAAATTTGACTTGAGTAAAATTCAATTTCTCTTGATTATCAAAGTGTTGCTTATCCAGCTAAGTGTTTCATGTGAGTTTTCCTTGCTCTACATTGTGACTTGTTATTTTTTTCTTTACTTATGCAGAATAGTTAAGTATTTTCTTCCCATTTAGGCTTACTGTGTCATATATTCTCTCTATTATTCTTGCTTTTATGTCCTTGAGTAAGTTCCCTGAGAAGATGTCCCAGTCACTTTTGAATGCTCACTTAGTGTATCATGCCAGTCCAAGTAAAGATGAATCAGTCCACAGTCCCAATATTCCCTTACTGACTGAAAGACAATACCTAGCCCTTGAGCAATATGTTTGTTCTCACAGCTTGTATGTGAGATTTGTTAAAGTGCTGCGAAATGTGAAGTTCAGATTAAATTCCTATAGATCCGTGAATCGCCTATTAACGTAGCCAAGCAGTCAGGCACTAGTAATACTGTCACTCCTGTCTGGAATCCAGCCACAATATCGTGCACGCAGGATAGTGTACAGTTACCTTGGGTTTCAGAGGAACCTCAGGCAACCCTGGGTGCTGAGACTACTATCCCTGCGATGGCGACTTGTTCAAGTAGTCGTTCCTTCCAGGGGACGCTTTGTGAAGAATGTTACTTGTAATGAGTTATGCCATCTCTTGCTGATGTCACAAGCCGTTGCAGAAAGACGTTTCTGTGGCTAGTGTACTCACTTGAGTGTTGTTGTTGTTCCTTGTGTTTCAGATGGTGATACTATCCTCGTTGACAGTAATCTGTGCAATGTATAAAGTTGTTTCTTTAATAATCTTCACATGTTGTTAACGTTTATGAGAGCAGTTTCTTTATAGTTGATACCTCGTGTCACTGTGTGTGACTCAGAATGAATACCAGTATTGTCGACCATGTTCATTTCTTTTCCCCTGTGCTTGGAGTGAGAGATAGCAGATCCGTTCTCCCTTGCTCGTATTGCGTATTATAGCGTTATCTTTTTTTCAACAAGGGAGAGTCATCCACTTCTCCAAGTTTGTTCAT